TAACAGTGATATTTTTAAGAAAAACGCTGTTCACCTTTACTTTAGAACGTCTGAAGAATATTTACTAATTTTTCGGACCCGAAATAGTAAGTAATTTAACCGTGACGGCCGTTTTAATTTTCTAGTGTGCATGACACCTTGTGTGTAACATGAAATTTTTAAATTAAATTAAATTAATAACTTTGACATAATCTTGATATAACCTTGACATAACCTTGATATAACCTTGATATTAACCTTGATATTAACCTTGATATAGCCTTGACATATCAAGGTTATATCAAGGTTATGTCAAGGTCACCATATGAAATTTTTAAGCAAGGTGTAAAGGTGTAAGATTAACAAAGTACTTAAATGATATTTTACAACTAAATGGGTGAGTATCTTATTGATAATATTTTTCATATTTCTCTGACAAACACATCCCTTACATCCTTTAACACGATTATTATTTATTAAATTAGCTTTGCGAATCATTCGTTGAACTTGAACACCTTGCTTAAAAATTTCATATGTTACACACAAGGTCATGCACAATAAAAAATTAAAACGGCCGTCACGGTTAAATTACTTACTATTTCGGGTCCGAAAAATTAGTAAATATTCTTCAGGCGTTCTAAAGTAAAGGTGAACAGCGTTTTTCTTAAAAATATCACTGTTACGTAGTAAAAAAAATCCGGAAAGTTCTCGTTTCGTGATTTGTTCAATACTTCGAACACGGCTCGAGTCCGTCCCGACCATCTGTCAAAGCCTCGTGCTGCGGGCTCTCGAACTTCGCGCCATCACCTCTCATTGGTCAGTGTTTTCTGTTAATAACTCGTAAACAAAGCCGCAGATTGCATTTCGCAAAGGAAAAAGTTACTTCAAATGACCTCAGCTAGCCCTCATTTTCGGCTGTTAAAATAATTGTGGAACACCCTGTATATTGTTCAACATAATATATTATATATAATATATTACGTACTTAATTGTACAATATAATATATTATATATAATATAGTACTCACTTAATTGTACAATGCAATATATTATACATAATATAATTATATTATTATTATCATTTATATATATAAATATATAATACAAAGTAAAAGAAAAGTGAGACAAAACGTAGCGTATATAATAAGTTTGCAATAGATATTATATAATAAAAGTGTATGATACAGGAAAGTATAATAATCGAGAGATTCTCTGTCAGACATAATAGTAATCTCGTTGGGAAAAAAGTAAAAGAAAAATTAGGACTAAAAATAGAAGAAATATGCAAACAAAACAATAGCCAGAAATAAAAATACAGAAAAAGAAGTAGAAAAGAAAAATTAGAAGTAAAATTGGAAAAACAATAAGAACGAGAGATCGGAAATAAAAATAGAAAAAAAAAATAGAAAATGAATACAAAAAGAATTAGAAAAATGTAGATGAATTAGGTAGTATAGTATGAATGTATGACCGCAGGCAGTGGGTGATCGAGTTTCGGGAAGTCTAACATCGTTTTGGTTTTCAGCCGCGGGAAAGAGGTCGGATGCGTTTCCACATGCTGCAGAACGTGCAAATGGCTCTTGACTTTCTTCGATACAAGAAGATCAAGCTGGTGAACATCCGCGCCGAGGATATCGTCGACGGTAATCCGAAGCTGACCCTCGGATTGATATGGACCATCATACTGCACTTCCAGGTGAGTATTCCCACTCGACGATGACAATAGAGAAATGCGATAGAAAAATGTTGGACGTGTATAGAAATAGCGCGGCGATTTAATCGTTCTCTCGAGAACGCTATCATCGTCCTCCTGCTTCGTACGAGAAGCACTCGTCTCGACACGGGCCTGGTTCGCCTTTCGAATCGCGACAATTCATTATCGGCCGATAAGTGGCGATAACACGGCAGAGCTTTCCAAGCTCTCCCACGCTCTCATGCTCTCTCTCTCTCTCTCTCTCTCTCTCTCTCTCTCTCTATCTATCTATCTATCTACCTATCTTGCTGCCTTCTCTCTCTCTCTCTCTCTCTCTCTCTCTCTCTCGCTCGCTCGCTCTCTCTCGACAAGCTACGCTCTCGGCGAAACGGAACAAATTCCATTTCCAATTGCAAGCTCTTCCATTTCGAAAGACCGCGAAACGAAGTTTGTTCAATCCTTTGCCGCACCCAACGCTCCAACACGGGATTTAAATGTCCTGCTGCCAGACCGATCGCTTCAAGAAAAAGAAAAAAAAAAGGAAAAAACGTCGATCTACGTGCAACGTTTCGCAAAACGATTTACAAATTAATAATGATTAAATGTTTTATAATATTCGAGTATTCTTTTTCTTCTGCTCGCATCGGATAATCGAGGTTCCGCTGTATTGGAATATGTGTCGCGTTCTGTGCTCGAAATGATCAGGCGAGTCAATTATGGTAAGCAATAATCGATCGAAACAGTCGAATAAAAAGCGATGGTTTATTAACAGTCGGCTAAAGAAATTCATTCTCGCGATAATTCCCTTGTTTTTCACTGTTATTTTGCTTCTACGGCCGGGCATGAAATTCCAAATTCGGTAAATTGAATGAAGGAGCGGCAAAGGGTGAACACGAGATTGATATTATCGATTCTGTGCCCATCGATCACGACGCATCTATCTAATGGTGTATTTTTTGTTTTGTTTCGCGCCGCAGAGCTGGCGACGCAAGGTAAGTTCTCCCTCTATTTTTACGTAGTGAGCTCCCGGAGCTGTCCGCGAAGGAAGTTTTCTGATCGAGGAGGATCGAGGAGGATCGAGGGTTGCGCGGACCTGTTTTATCGACCGCGATAACCGATCGCGCTAGATGGCGCCTGACGCTTAGATCCGGTAACGATCCATCGATCCGCTGGTCGCGTGGCCGCGCGCGCGCGCGACGCGCCGACCAATCGCGATAATTATCGCCGCTACGCCGATAAGACCGGCCCCCAATCAATTGCTAGACACGACGTCGGAGCACTCGAACGGATTCAAATGCAACGATGGTGGATTTTTTACACTGCGGATTTCGAAGTTACATCATGCTCGAGACACGCCGACGAACCTCGCCCACTCGCGTCATCGTTTATCTCGCGCACGACGATACCGCGTTGCGAACAAATATTGCAGATCTCTGCGGAACAGCAAAGAGAAGCCGAACCGTTGAGGATGTTCCGAGGACCGAGGCAGGATGTGCGCGATAATTATCGAAGCTCGAATAATAGTCGAGAAGTTAGCGTTTGTCGCGATCCAAGGGCTGCGCGAACGTGAATTCAGATTCTATTTGATTGTTTTTTTTTTAGACTTTGTTTGTCGAGAAAAATCATAACTTTTGCAGTAATATTCGCAAGATTTGTTCGCGCACGTTTCAATAATAATTGAACAGATTTTGAATAACAAGTGAACATTCACGGCATTGGCTACTTTGAAACATGATGCATTGAAGCACTCGCACTGTTTTTATAAAATCGACGCTGGACGTACAGGCAATGTCGTCTGTTACCATTATTTATAGTTAATTATTTGGATATTGTATTTATAATATAATTAATTATTAACCTTATTTATAATAATATGCTGTACCTAAGTGATACATAGTTGTACCTAAATGGTACCTAATTGCACCTAAATGGTACCTAGTTGTACCTTAAACGGTACCTAATTGCACCTACATGGTACCTAATTGCACCTACATGGTACTTAATTGTACCTAACTGGTACTTAATTGTATCTAACTGGTACTTAATTATATCTAACTGGTACTTAATTGTATCTAACTGTACCTAAATGGTACTTAACTATACCTTCATGGTACTTAACTATACCTTCATGATACCTAATTGTACCTTCATGGTACTTAATTGTACCTAACTAGTACTTAATTATACCTAACTGGTACCTAATTGTACCTAACTGTACCTGAATGGTACCCAACTGTACCCAACTTCACCTAAATGGTACTCAATTGTACCTAAACTCGCATCGTCACATTGAACATTTCGTCGTAAGAAGAAACAAAATTCGTCTTATATCGTCGCTCGGATTGTTTTTTCGCTCCCCGAGATCGGATAAACGGCTCCGAAACGGTAATTTTCGGTAATTTTCTTGCTGCCGGGTTCTCCGCCGCGAATGAGCCTTTTATCGTCCCGGGATCTGATAAAAAAGCGCTCGTTGGCTGCCGGTGACGAGTGTCCTTCCCGCGAGCACGCTCGGCAGACGTTACCGTTTATGGTGTTTCGCGGCGATTCTCGTCCAAGCAAGGCGGAAGGTTGACAGAGCGGAGCCACACGGTCGAAACGCCGTGCGGCGGTGATGAGGAGAGGGACGAGAAGAGGCCCCGCGACGCATCGTGGTGTTATTCGTCCGCGTGGGAGTAGGGCCCACGGGATGCGGACGCGCGCGCAAGAGAGCCGTATATATCGGTTCGTTCGGTCTCGTGACGCCGCTCCGCGTGTGTCGCCCACCTTGCAATTATGATAATCGGGATCCGACCGATCGAGCCACGAATACAGAAACGAGCATGACGCGAGCGGACAAGGTCGCCGGTAACCGACCCTCTCTCGCGCCTTCCGGAGAACCCGAAACGAGCCGTCGGCTGCCTTCGGCCGCCCGGGGCACGCCATTATTCAATCCGCTATTGATTTCATTCGATCGGGATATCTCCTTTAACGATCTATCGTGTTACCGAAGAGTCGCTCTGTTCTTTGGAAAGTCTCGCGGAGACAGAGGATCCTTCCGGAATCTGAAACTGTTTGGCTCTGCTACGCCTGTCTTTAGGCTGTTCGCCGGAGAAGAATTATTCGATCGCTATCGATTCCGATGCGATAATGTAATAATTATATTTAATAATATACATATAATAATATTAGGTCGTTCGGTAACTTGATTCGTTTTATAACAAAAATTTCGCTTTATAAGGGTGTTAAAAAAAGTACTTAATTCGATATTATCGATCATAAAATAAGATGTGTACGTATGTTACCAGAAAAATGTCAAACAGTTTCATTTTTACTCTGGACATTAAAAAATCTTTCAGTTTCTCGCGAAAGAAGCAACTTTCCGAACGACCTAATAATAATAATAATAATAATAATAATAATAATAATAATAATAAATGTTTACTCTTTGACACTAGATTTGCGGGGCACAAAAAAACAGCTGTTTTGTATTAGTTTATAAAAGTAACAATAGGACATATATTTTGATTTTTAACAAGTGTTATTGTAACATTTGCCGTGAGTAACGTATAAATTGAATAAATAACTTATAAATGTGTCTTTACGATATGAATAATTGTGAATTAAGAAGTCAGTGACCCGTCATTTTGACAGGTTCTGTAACAATCTAGTGTCGACGGGATGAACCCTTTGTTATAATGCAATACAATATAAAATAATAGCTAGTATACAGTATATAATACAGTAAAGAATATACAATATAAAAATAAAATACAAAAATATAAAATAACGTAAATAATATAGTATAATACAATACAAAAATAATACAGTACATCATATACAATATAAAAATAAGATATATAATACAGTATATAATATACAAAATGAAAATAAAAATAAAATAAATGCTACGGCATATAATAACAATTTAAAAAATAATGATTTCGTGCGTTTGCAGCAAAAATCAGTGGTCGACGTATAAAACGACGAAGGCGTTGAATAATACCCTTGCAGCGTTTTCAACTCGTCGAAATTATCGAAAGGGACAATTTACTTTCACCCCATTTCTGTATCTTACGATCGTGTTTGAACATTTTCACTCTGCCGGGAAGATCCGCTGTCCAATAATTCCCGTCGATTCGACAGGATCAGCGATAGATCATCTTTCTCGATCCATCGTCGAAGGACAAAATCGTATTCGCTGCAACGAGTCTTCGGCGACTCATCGTCGGAAGAATACTGTGCAATCGATTGCGCCGTGGTCGGCCATCTTTGCTCGTTATCGAAGCAAAGGGTGCCTCTTTGGGTTCGGAGAGCGAGCGCGTGCTTTCGGAACGTGTCAGCTGCGCGCGCGGGGTCGTTTCTCCCGTCGACGGGACACGACCGAAGGGCGACGGTGGGTGCCGCGTTTACAGCGTCGGCGAAGCGGGACGAAGGGCTTGCAGGCTGGCTGCGCCCGAGACGAAACAAAACGCAGGAGGCGGCACTCGCGAGAACTTCGGCCCGGAGAGCAAATAAACGAGCGGCTTTATGGCGGGTGTCCGTTTCCGCGAGGGAACCGCCGAGGGTGCCCGGCGTAAATATCGGGGAGAGAAGTGGTAGTCAATTTCCTCCTCGTCCGAAAATAGTCCGGCGGAGGAGCGCGCGCGTGCAGCCGACGACGGGCCACCCTCCTCTGGGCCCAGGTGTCGAGGAAATTCGGAGTTTTTCTCGCCGAGGGGACCACGGAGAACAGGAGCCGACTGGGAGCCGTCGACGGTCACGGACGATCTCTCGATTCACGCTTCTGGCCGCGCACCGGAAGCGTCCGTGTGTGCCGGTGCTCTCTCGCGGCTGCTCGCTGACGTCACGTCCGGTCCCGGTTCGCTCTCTTTCTGTTCCTCTTTTTACTTTGGCCTCTCTCTCTCTGTTCCCCGCGGCGGCTCGAGGACGCGCCAAAAGCCCGAAAAAATTACACCGCTCGATGAAATCGCAGCGCAAATCGTCGACCAAAATCGGCCGACTTTGACCGACGATAACACCGCGAAAAAATCATCGTAGGATGATCAGGTTATATTTGAAATTAAAGCTTGGAATCTCTGCTTTAAGCTATTGTTTCTCGACTTGAAGTTGGACGTATCTTTACCATTGTAACTTTTCGAATGCGAGGACATTTTGAATTGTTCGTCGTGTCGGACATCGCCAAGTTCGACGAAATGCACGGACTTCGTGAAATTTTTGTCGGACATGCCGTTCACGGTGCAACGAAGCTCGATTCTTTCTCTTTAACTTAAAAAAAAGTAAACGCGGCTGCGATTTTTTCTCGCGAAGTTACGGAACTTCGAAGCGGACCCTTGTCCGTCGATCGAAGTTGATCGATTTTTCTCCCGATCGTGGGATGAAAAATCCATGTCGTTGTTATTGTAACTACATAAAAAAAGGGCATTTATTACAATCAAGTGTTTTAAATGCTTGTTATACATTTGTAAAATCGTTTAAGTGCTTGCAACCGGTATTTCATTTAATGCGATTTCGAGAGATAATGCAAAAATATTTGTATTTCTCAGTTGACATATTTTCACCGGTGCCCGTTCATGGTCGCCGAAATGAACGAACAGTATAATTAAAATTAATCGACGGAACGCCTCCTTTCCGTCTCTTCGGGCCGAGTGTCCGCAGTTCGCGGCGCCGCGTCCCATTTTCGCCCGAAGCCGCGTCGCACGGCGGTCGCTTATTTAGGCATTGTTTTCGTAGCGGCGGTTTTCTGCGCGCAAAACACAATCGTCCCCAAGCCTGTTTGTTTTCCAGCCTGCCCCCGTCCGCGTGCGCGGCCTCGAGCGCGAACCGACGCGTATTAATTATCGTCGCGCGCGCGCGCGCTCTCAAATTAGGTAAGCGGGCACGATCGAGACCGAACGCGGCGAGCGACGACGAAACGTTTACCGTGCCGCGTGAAACGTCGATTCCACTCAAAAGGAAAAGGAGGAAGGACGCGCGCGATCCGCGGGGCCCGCAGAGGCCCGCGAGAGGGAACCGA